CATGGAGGGGCCAGTTCACAGAAGAAGGGTGCCCTATTGACTAACTCAGAAAGGTGCCATCCTTTTTTCAGGGCTCGGTATTATTTCTTGCAAACTAAGGAGGAAGGCACATAGCAGCAAGTTCTTGGAAGATCAAGAGCTATCTAATGCCTCTGGGGTGTAAATAACAAGGCAGCAGAGATCTCCTTTTGTGAACATAACCTTTTGTCTGTAGAACTACCAGACTTGTAAGAAGAACTGTCAGAACCTGCTGAAGTGCCAGCTCAGCAAGGGCTTCTTCTATTCCAACAAATAAATCAAGAAATTATTCCAAAATGCCCTTTTCTTGATTTTTCCAGTTGCTTTTCCGCTGCATAAAAATAAATAGAAAAGTAGGAGAAGTTACAAATCCTTGGAAGGATCCAAGGCAAAAGCTAGGTGAGCTGGCATACTCCCCTTAGGTAAACATCACTTCAGTCAGTGCCGCATCCATGTCCAGTCACAGCATTAGTGAATTCACCATGAATGCTTGGAGAGGGGAAGACAGCACGGGTAGCTTTCCTATATGTGCTCTCTGACAGGGTCCAATTATGATTGAGCTTTATAATATAGAGCAAGTTATAATTTACCTTCAGACCTTCAGATCCATGTGGCATTGATGGCTGTTGGTGGTCTTTCTCTAGAAAAACAATCATGGAGAGGTGCTCCATGTGCCTCATTGTCTTTTTTGCACTCTTGCAAACAATTTTAAACCATTTTTGCCCCAATGTGAAAGGACTGGGGGTAATACAGGCCATAGAGAAAAATATCAAACCCTAAAGTTTGGGGTCAGATAGCATTCCCAAGGCAGGAAGGGTCCCCAAAAAGCATACATGCACTGCTATATCTGTCTGAATAACTAGGGATTTATGGAATGGAGGGATAGTGGTTAGATGGATGGGAATGGGAAAAGGATATTTATTTTTGCACTCTTTTAAAGCCCAACAGTTTCCAATGAATTACTTTATCTAACTTCCGAGAAAGGGCAGAGTTGTGAAAGGACTGACATTATAAGACACTGAAAAGACTCATATCCTTCTTTTTGGCTTTAATGTTTTCCTTAAAGTGGAAGGAAGAATCAACAGCGGTTTCTGTAGCAGAGATGTTCCATTAACTTTTGCTCCAAAGCGCTCTAATTTCCAGGAGATTTTTTAGTTCTGGCTGTGGCAAACAGCTCTACCAGCTCCTAGTCCCTCTGGGGACTCAACACGTGATACTATCCCAAGGCTGTGGTGGTGCTTCTTCCTGGATGTCTTTCCAGGCTGGTGTGACAAGGTACAAGCTGTCCCCAGCTCTCCTTGCTTGGTGATTCTGCTCATTGAAGAAGCTGCTACACATCCCCAAGCCCCTGTTGTGCAAAGGGCTGGGCCAGAGCAGAAGATGGTCCTTTGCCCAGGAGGCTGCAGTCCAACTTGTCCAAGATACTCCAGCATCCCTATAACTGCTGAAAAGCCAGTGAGACCCTCCAAAGTCTAGAAAGGAGGATCAAATTGTGGTCTTGAGCACGCTTGCATTGCTTTTTGGTATCAGAAGAGCAAACTGGTGTCATGCTCATTGGTGACATTATCTGAAGTAAGTACTAAGCATTTCCAGCACCAGCAGAGTGCTCCTGGGAAGGAGCGTTATCATCTACTTATTCAAAGGATGTGAAAATATACACCTTTTTATAGTTATTATTCTATTTACTGTAAAGGAATTGCTCCAGGCTGGCACCTGGAATATATTGACGTGATGGACTCTGCTATGGACAAGACATTTCGCTTCCAGTGTGATCGCTGGCTGGCTAAAGGTGAAGATGATGGGCAGCTCATAAGGGAACTGGCTTGTGCCAATAACAACATCCTGGAACTGAAGGAACGGACTGGTGAGTTCAGAGACAACTTGTGGCATTTCCTAAGGGATCTCCTAGGCCATAAGACCACAGCTGCAAGGTGCTCTGCATATGGTTCCCAAACAGGCTTTGCACTCACAGGATCTCAAGGCTAAATTACTGAAAGTACTGTTTCCTTCAAAAGTGTAATACTGTGGTAAGGAAGAGACAAATCAGGATTTATGAGGAAGAAAAATGTCTCATTCTACGTTGAAATGTAAGAGGGGCCCATCCGTAGTGGTTCAATCCAGCAGTAAGCCGTAAGGTTACATGGTTATGTTCTCATTAGAAATAATGGGCTTAAATCTTTGAGGTGGAAAATAAGTTCAGTTCTTAAAGCTTTGCAAGTAACATTGCTCCAGCTTCCTCCTTAATATGCTGTGGGCTACAGGTTCACGCGTCCCAGCTGAATATGACAGCTGAGCTTAACACTCCATAGCCCTGGTTCTGCACAGGATAATTCCACCGAGTCCAAGGTAATGACACTGGAGTCTAATGTGGTGAGGGAGAGAAAGAGAGGTATTATTTAACTGCCCTGACAAGTAAGTTAAGCACATCTCAGCACTCCTGTAAAAGCAGTGCTCTGCTTCAGCAGAGTCTTGGAGTCATTTCTTCAGGGTGCTTTCACATTGCCCCTGCTAAAAGGCAACCCTGTCTTGCTTGTCTTGGGGTACACACATACTTGGTACCACCATAGCATGTGAGCACGTCCTGATGGACATATAGGTGTCTTCACTATCCCTGTAAGGGTAAGCAACCTTAATGTTAGGAGCAGTTGCACAAAAATCAGAAAGATTTGGACCATCTTAAATAGGGAGATGTTAGCATAGCAGAGAGTTGTACACGGCTTGTTCAAGAGCAGCTCCAACTGATCACTGATCAAGCAGTACTCATATTCTTCATGGACTCTCTCCTAGGCAGGCAGAAGTCAGAAGTATCACTTATTTTGTGAATGCTTTCTTATGTGCTATGATAAATACCAGGAAGAGGGTTTTTAGCAAAAATGACAGTCGAATAAAGAGATCTTTCTGACCATCTGCTCTTCCTCTGCTGCTTAACATGTGTGTTAATTATGCTTTTAAAGCCTATGAGATTGTCACAGTGACAAGTGACAGAGAGGATGCAGAGACCAAGGAAAACATCTGGATCATCTTAGAAGGAAAGATGGGCCGCTCGAAAGAATTCCTTATGGAAAACTCCTCCAAGAAAAGGAGATTTGAAAGGTAGTGGGAGTGGGCAATGGGCTAGAAGACCTCCTCGCCAGCTGTACCTTTTCCACAAATACCATCTCTTCACCAGGGCAGTCTATTAGAGTTGCATTTGTGCCGTGCTGTTTCCTATCCCCCTTCCAAAAGGTCAAATGAGTGAAGGAAGGGAGTGAAAGGAGCATGTAAAATTAGCTTCTGATAGGCAGGCATGGAGCAGGCTTAATTGTGGTGGGAGAAAAGGCATTTGGTAAAGGAAATGCAAATGATAAATGTGTGTGTATCCTTTTGTATTAGCACATACAAAAGGGCTCCTGGTGAGCCTAAGGGGAGACTGTGATTTTTTGAGCTGGGAGGAGCAGAAGGAAGCTGGAGGTGGTTTTAGTTCCTTTTACAGCATCTTGCTGGCAGTAGGAGTCAGAGAAAGAGTAAAAATAGTTGGAGGCTAAATGTTGTCAGAGCTGCTCAGATTTGACTTTCCAGATGGATTGGGAAGGGGGTAGGGCTGAAAGATCAGTGTCGCGTGAAGAAAGCCAAATGCCAACCTTGCACACAGGAGGAGCTGGAGGCACATCTGGGCAACGTGGGGGAGATTCCTCCTCCCATGTGGGGCCAAAGTGCTCCAGATGTGAGGTAGGGTTTTCACTTTGCTCATGGAGACAGTGTGCTCTTAGGAGAGAGGGATCTATCCAAAGCTGTGGACCCTGCCAGTGTTCGGCCGCTTTGCAGGGAAGAAATGTCTTACTTAAGGCCCTGCAAGGGAAGGAAAAATATATAACTTACCTGGACTCGGATGACTAAGATTTCATGTGAAGTGTGACAGATTGGGAGGCACTTCCACCTGACACTCAACTGATGTTGACTTAAATAGAGTTGGAGACACCATCCTCTGACGCATTAGTCACAGTCCCTCCTTGGAGGCAGGTTGGAATAACGACCCAGGCCAAGGAGACAGGCCTAAAAGATATGTAGAGGACATGACAGGGGAGCCAGCCAAGTGTTTGACAGAGAGTTATTGTCTAACTGAGCTGTTTGCAAGCTGGGCTTCTAAAGCAGGAAGGGTGGCTGAACTAGCAAGTTTAAAACAGCGATGGTGGGCAGACGTGTAACAGATACAGTATCTGTCAAGAGTGAATGAATGGATGCTGGAGAGGAGATTAGTCATTCTTTAGCTTTATCTATAATGAGGCAAATTGATTTTGTATGTAGAACAACTCAAGTTTATCCTGGAGAGTCCTAGTGGCAGTAATTTAAAGCGTCACCCCTAATCAGAGAAAATACTGAATTTAAATATGTAAATTATACTTTGTGTTGAATGATTGTGGGTTAAATCAAACGATTTTAAATGGATGCTTATCCTCTTTCTTCCACAGCCATGTGCAAATTAGTTAATGTCCGTATGAGACGAGTCAGTGCCAGCCTTCAAGATATTAACTGAAATGGTTCCCTGTTTCCTGTAGGGCGTCAAGAGACACATTTCAGTTTTCTTCAAAGAATGTTGGTGATGTTGCAGCCATCTGCGTTGGTCACTGTCCAAAAGATGGGAAGAAGTCATCCGCAAAAGCTGATGTGTACTGGCACGTCCAAGAGATTATCGTAACAGAGATGGAGCTTGGCAACAAGTAAGTGTCTTCTTATCTGCAAGGTGCAACTCTGGGAGGGCATGGAGAAGATCTGCACACCTCTTCCTGCATTGCATACTTACACAGTGCTGGAAAGTCTCACCAAATTCTTTCTGAAAGCTAAGGGCAAGTTGTTTGGTATCAGACTTATACAAGCCTCATTTGTTTGTCCAATTTCCGAGTTGATAGAGAACAGCTGAACAAAACAAGTCCTATTTTGGATGAGTTTTGCACCAACTCTAAACTAACATCTCAGCTTGCAGAAAATATTGATACTGACTGGAATTTAAAGGGGGTTGTAGGATGCTCTGCACAGACTGGCCTCTAGGTAATTTGTAAAAACAACTCCTAGAAAAAAAAAGGCCCAGATCTCCAATTCAATCACTTTGGATGAGAGAGATGTCCAGGATGGTCTGAAAGGTCCACTGTAAAGGTTGTAGTTAGCTATCAAATCACAAGTGCTCACTTGCTCTGGCTAGAATATGACTGAAATCTTCTATACTCAAAGGATAACATTGTCTGAACATCTCAGGAAATCTCTGAGTACTTTAGCTCCCACACCAGTGGTCTGAGCCCTGGTGATGCCCATGGGCTAAGTTAGCACAGGGAATATATGTTCTCCAGAGGGGAGCAGCCAGCTGGAGAAAAAACTCCCCTTCAGAGGAAATATCCATTCCATCAATGGATTTTATTTCTTTTCCAAGATATTTCCATTGCTGCAAAAGAATTTAAGGGCTTTGTTCCAGCTGAGACAATTGAGTGTTTGAGAAGAAATCCTTGAAGTGATATTTTTTTAATGCTAAGAGTCTCTCCTAGCAAATTAACCAGCCAGCAGAAGAGCCACAATACTATTTGCTGAATGAAAACTCAGTCAATTATATATTCAAACATGTTCTTTTCTCCTGGTGGGGAAAAATCTAGGACCCTTAATACCCAACTGTGCAATCAAATCCAGGCATCAAGCACATTGGGAGCATGGAGATCTCTGCTGAGACAGTACATTTGACAAAAGTACAAATTAAAAGAAATATGAGATCGGTCTAACAATAGCTCTCAATGATAATTTTTTTTTCCTTTTGGTTCTCAGGCTTCTAGCATGCAAAAGGGACACATTTATTTGCTATTTTTTTGTAAATCAAATCTCAGGGCTAGAAAAGTCATCATTTTTCTTCCCCCCCAGTTTCCACAGGCTGTATTGCTTCATCATAATACCAAAACACCGATTATTATGTCATCCAGAAAATAAACTGCAACGTCAGGCCATTTCCCCTTCTCTATTTTCACATAGTTGTTTTCCTGGCCCTAAAATACCAGAATTTCTCATTTACAAAGCTGCTCTGCAGAGCAAGGAGAGCTTTCTTCCGGCTGCAGAAAGCCCAAAAGCATAATAAGGTTTTAAGAAAAGCAGTACTGTTCAAATTGCAGTCACTCTTCCTTCAGGTGCTTATTTTACACATGTGCAATGGATCATCACTCCTCCCGGGAGGACCTGCTGCAGTTTGGTGAAGGGGGAGGAAGCAGGAGGGAAGAATTGTTTGGAAATGATCTGGATCATTGGAAATGAAATACATCGTGACAAGAACAGTGCTCCAGCCCTGGCCAGGTGCCAGGTACACAGTGATTTATGAAGGTGCTATGGGCACCAGAGGCAGCACCGCAACGTGGAGGGTTTTCAGCATCTGGTACCCATCACTTTAGGGCTTGATGCTTTTCTTGCCTGCTCAGGATGGGCTGACACATCTGGAGGGGGATATATAAACATCCAGTCCTCCATGGTGCCTTTTTGACCCTTCTGCATAACTCTTGGCTCATCCTGTCCTATGCTGCTGGTGAGGATCATTGCGTGCTTTCCCTCCAAGTGCAGTTGCACAGATGAAACCTTGCTCCAAAATCAGCTTAAATACAGTCAGGAGGGGCAGCGTTATGTGCCAGGCCAGCTGATTGCCTTGCCTTGGTTCTTCTGTACATGGCCATGCCATTTCACAGGGAAACGAGGTGACAGGTGCCCAAATTCAACCCCGAGCACGTGCAGGGTGTCAGTGTCCGCCTGGGGATATATCGGATTTTCCAGCAGTTGCAGCATTCAGTCAAGACTGTCTTCAGAAACAGAAGTTCCAGTGTTAGTACTAAAACGACGTCGCTGTCGTGTGGTTGGCCAGCCCACCTGTCCCAACATGTGCCACAGGGAACCCCTCCGTGCCCTTAATCCACTGTGAGTTTTCCTTCTGCAGGTACTTCTTCAGGTGCAACACGAAAATCCCTCTGCGCTACAAGAGACGGGATTACAAAGTCTTCGAGTGTGCCAAGGTAACAGAGAGCTTCTCCAGCAAAGCCCGGAGCTTGGTGCCCGTCCGATACGAGACCATTGTGGTGACGGGCTTTGAGAAGGGAGCCGGTACCGACGCCAACGTGTTCATCACCATCTTCGGCCTCAACGGCGACTCGGGAAAGCGGGCGCTGAAGCACAAGTTCAGGAACCTCTTCGAGCGGGGCAAAACCAACCGCTTCTACCTGGAGACGTTGGACATGGGGGAGCTGAAGAAGGTCCGGATCGAGCATGACAACAGTGGGCTGGCGCCCGGCTGGCTGGTGGAGCGGGTGGAGATCACCAACTCGGCCACCGGGGTAACCACCATATTTCCCTGTGGGAAGTGGCTGGGTGAGAACCGAGGGGGATGGGTTGATCTGGAGAGAGCTCTTCCCTAGATACTGAGTGGAAGAGTTTTTAGACCCTTCTCCATGGGTGTTTTCCACATTATATAGTTTTATAGAACATTTTACTTTTTAAAACATTGCTTTTTATACTGGAGGGTTTTTTAGTAGTAAGATGTGGCTCTTGGGTCAACATTTTGTAAAAATAATACTGCTTTTTTTTTTTAACTGCCCATAAAATTGCGAATGAGATATACATTTCTTTCTTATTTATGATTAGAAGCCACAAACAGCAGATCCATAAACTATCTCAGCAGTCTTTGAGCACAATCTGCCTCCTGCTTTCACCACCCTGCACTGCCAAGGCTGGAAGTGGCCTCCACTATTGATCGACTCCCCTTTCAGATGAAGAAGATTCAGAAAATAGAGAAAAACAGAAAATAGGAGGGGGAAAAAAGAACAGAAAGAAAAGAAAGAAAATGGAGCTGATGTAGCAACATGTTGAAAGCATCAGGACTTTCTGCAAGGAGGTTCAGGAAAGGGTCTTGAGTAATGGGACTTAAGAAGGTCTTTTCCCTCTGTGCTGGACCTGGCTCATGGATGAGGGCAGAATTGGGACAGCCGTAGTGCAGAGGTACCATGATCTGAGAGCAGCTGATGCAATTCCTAGGAATATGATAGCAAAGAACCTAAGAACCAATTCCCCATTCAGGGAAGCTGTCTGACTATACTCTAAGCTGTCTCAGGATACTTTTACCCTGTGTGGCCTGAGTATGGCCTTTTTTCAGAGCATCTGCCATTCATTTTATTTATTTATTTTGTGAAATATGCTCTATTTGATTTTTCATGGTGGGAGGGATTTCTCAGTTGCAAAAAGACCCAGTGCCCCCATAGGCGAGCTCTTCCCAGGTGCTTGCCTCTCTCCACAGGTAACAACAGGAACAGCTCTTTAAACATCATTAAAACATCATTAATCCTGAAGTCCCATCTCCGGAGGGCTGCTCTGGGCTTTGCTCACTCTCTGGAAAAATTCCCACTGCCTCCGGTGGGATGGGCCTCCAGGGGAGGCTGGGTTGAGTGAGAAGGAGGAAGCTGCACTAATGAGACGGTGCTGGATGCTGCAGGATAATGAGGCAGCTTTTAAGCAAACACTTTATGTGAAAAGGAGTTAAATGCACTGAGCCCACCAGCTCATCCCACCACCACAGCATTCAGCATCCCACTGGTGTAGGCATCAAGTTGGGGATGATGCTGTGCTGGTCCTGCTATCCAGTACCTACCTAGTCATGGGAAAAGGTCATGGTGTTGTAGTGCAAGTTGCTTAAATGTACCAACCAATGACTAAAAAAAAAAACACCGATGGGAGTAGTAACAGTTCCTTCGGTGTGTGTTGTCCCTTTGCTGCATCCCCACAGGCTACTGCTGCTGCTGAGCCTGGAGCAGGGCCTGAGCTGGGCTTGGGAGGAGGACTGCAGGCACGGGTGTCAGCAGACACGTTACGGGACCGTGCGGGGCTGGTTGCGTGATCGCCAGCAATGATTCCCCAGTGAGTGTTTCCAAACAAGAAGGTCAAGCTTTGGAGCTCCCCACCATTTCCCCCATCCCAAGCAACTAGGGCTATGAAAAACCTTCGTGTCAATATTGTCAGATTTTTAATGAAAAGCCTGTGCTGCGGAGAAATAGGAGTTCTGTAGTCCTAACTTTTCCAGTTGGCTCCACTGAACAACCACCTGGTGCGGAGCACGTTTATAGCACAGTGCAGCCCATTGCAAAGCTTTAACTCTTAAACCCACCATTACCCTCCAAAATAAGTGGCAGCCTGAGGCTGGGGACAACGCTGCTATCTGCTCCCAGCCCTTGGGGCAAAGGATGCACTTCCCCATCCATCCATACCCCTTCTGCATGGGGCAGCAGGCTCCTCAAAACTCCTTAGCTGCACATGAAATGTGCTTGGTGTACGGAGACCACATGGCCTCTGTGCAAAATCACAGCTGGGAGAAATCACAAAAATTTGATAGGTACCTAAAGCCATGCGCCAAGGTCCTGTTGAAGAAGGAATGTATGATTTTGGTTTCACCCAATTTGTCTTGGTGCATTGCTGCACCCCAGTTTTGAAACTGCTGCGCTGATGAGCAATGGGATAGAAAATCCTGGGCTTCATGTTAAAAGCATCTACCATCCCTGGACAGGAAGAGTCACGTGCATGTGGGTCCCTGCTAAGGCTGCTTGGGAGCAGTATTGAACTTTTGGGAAGGAATGCTTTCCCAAAAAAGGCCAGAGGGGATTTTGCTAATAGGGGGTCAGCAAAGCTAATGTCTCCCAGGAAGAGGACCTTGGCAGGGCGTGAAAGAAAAAATGCTTTTTTTTCTCCTAGAGACTTTTAAAATGCTCCCTGCTTGTGCAAAGCAAAACTCCACCTTGGCTCCGGGGAGCCCTTCTGTTGCTACAACAACTAATGCCACGAAAGCAATAAGGCCGAATGGAATCTTTCCAAGGGACGGATTTGAATTAGGCTGCTAAAAGCAACACAGTCTTGGCCAAGCAGAGAACTTGTAAAAAAAAGGACGCGATGTTGTCCTTGCGCTGTGTCTTTTGCAGGGCTCAGGCAGCTGCTACCCGCAGGGTACAGCAGCCCAAAGCTGCATGCTGGGGAAAGGCCCCGATCCTACAGCTTTTTCTTAACTATGGTCTTAATGCACACGTCTTTAGTTAAAAGTTTTAAGTGGGGGTGACAGGCAAGAGTAAGGGCGGTGGCACCATGAGGATGTGGCTTTGGAAGATGTTGGTGAAGGTGCTTTGGTGCTCTTGGTGAAAACAAGTGTAGCCAAGGAATCCATTGCAATGTGGTGGAGATGGAATAACTCAAGGCCGAGAAGAATCCAGGCTGTGATCTCCCCCACCTCATCCTTACACAGAGGTCCATTTATGCCCCATGAAAACCAAGAGCAAATTCAATACTTAGGGCCAGGACTGTGCAGCTGCGAGCTGGAGCCTGGGGCCACCTGGATGCCACAAGACATGATTTGGGGTTGACCTTCCCAGTCCCAGGAAGCTGCTGCAGGGAAGACAGACAGCACCTTTTGGCCCTTGCCAGAACATCATCATCTTTAGCCTGTTTTCTAATGAGGGATCGAGTTAAATTTTCTTCTAACAAGAGCTTCATATTGTCTGAAAGTGATGCATCCCTGGCCTCTGGAGAAGCCAGCAATCTCCAGCTGCACAAACCCAACATGCTGTGAAAGCAGCTGCCTCTCTGCAGGGTGCTTTTAGCCCAACTACACAGTCCAAGCCAGGCACTGCCTACAAGGACCTTGAAACAGGACTGCAGAGGATGCAGGGTTGGGTTTTGTAGCATATTTCCCTTACCTTAGTTATTAAAAGAGAAAGACAGCACAGAGGTACATGGGTCTCCATGGGCAGGATGGCAGATCCATGAGGATCTGTGCAGGCTGCAGGACCATATGGGATATCCTTGAGGCAATGTGGCCTGCAGATAGAAGATGAATCTGTCTTTAACTTCCAGGCAAGATCTGGAAAGTAATTTTGGTGCCACATCACCAAAACAAGGCATTAACTAGGATGCATCCGGAGTTCAAATGGACCTCCGCTCGAGCTGATAACGTCCCAAAGTTATTTAAAAGCTTAACCTCCACAGTGCCACGAGCACCCAGGTGGCAGCAGCCCCAGGGTATCCACATGTCCCCACCATATGCCAAAATCAGCTAAGGGAAAGCATTTTTCTCCAAGTTCAAACATATAAACCATGAAAAGAGGATTTACTTGCTTTCAAAGAAACAAGGATTTGGTCACGAATCACCGCTTTTCACTGGGTGATGCACAAGGAGAAATGTGTCCTTGAACACCAACGTGCTGCTTCCATTTGAGAGGAGGCGAAAATGCTTCAAAATAAAGTATTTCATCCTAAAAAGACTGTTTTTACCAGAAAGGTTTTAGGCTTGGACATTGGTGAGGTTAAAGCACAGCTGATGCCTCATAGGGTTTCATCAAACCTCCACTGGGGATGGAAAGAGGAGTAACAATGGTGAGTACAAGGGAGATGAAGAGACAGTGAGTGCCCAACCAAGTCACTGGTGTAGAGTTAGCAATGCAATTCATTTTATTAGTTATAAATAAAGTACAAAAAATCCACCAAAAGTGAATCTAAGCATTTACACAATTTCTAATGTCTTTTTTTCTTCCTCAATTTCTTCAATGCACTATTGCTTTAATATTAATAATAAATATTTTTTCTAGCTTTCTTCTATAAAATAGTCTATGTAGCAAAATGTCGCACAGCACAACAGAACAGCAGTAGGAGTACAAAAAATGTGGGTGATCCTTCCACGAGCCCCTGCCCTCGAAGGCCAGGATTTTTGCTTGCTCGCTCCTTGCTTTGCGCATCCCTTTCGTGGTGTCTTTGCTGGGCCGGGGGGGAAAACAACCAACGCGGGTCCAGGCTGTAGGGAGGAACGTTAAAAAGCAGCAAGGGAAAAAAAATAGAATCACGGAGGAGTTTTAACCATGGGGTGAGACAAGGTGGACAAAGCGGAGCAGCACCCTGAAGGGGCAAAGAGGAAAACAAAAATTAAGGTACAGGCATATTGGTGCTGTCCGACCCCCCAAACAAAAATTGCATCCAAGCCCACATGGGGCAGGTTAAGATGCGCATCCCACCCTATCCAACTGTGCTGACCAAGCAGGCAGCTATGGCTTAAAGGTTAAAATATTCCGGGGGTTGCCATCCCCCTCCGACACGGCTCACATACATGTTGTTATATGGGAGCCTTTTGAGGCCACCACCGATGGGGACCTCCAGTATGGCCAGCCTGAGCCCCTGGAGCACCATTCCTTGCCCTCAGCACAGCAGGAGGTGAGTGGAAGGATCACCAGAGTTTGATTATGAGTGCAAATAATATTCATATATATGTGCTAAAACACCGTCACTATATTGCAAGTTTTCCACTAGGTCACAGCATACAGAATCAAAAGGTTTGCATTTTTTTTTTATGGAATGTATCCAAGGTAACAGCACCACAGTAATACAGTTTGTAATCACACACC